CTGCAGATTTATCTTCTCTGGCAGCTGTTTTTTTTTTTAAATCTAACAGCTTCAATAATGTCTCCAGTTCTTTTTCAAACTTGTTTTAACAAACTATTTTAATTTGAGCACCGCTGAAACTTGTTCACAAGTCCCGCCTCCACCCTTTTTCTGATTGGCTGGTAGGCCTGTAGTGTGTTTAAAGTGACAGCTGTGCCTCGATCCAGAGAAATGTTTTTTAATCTCTGGGCAGACATGATTTTTTCCCCCCTGCAGCTACACTGGAGATCCAGCACGGGATTGTGTTGTTAGAATATCAAGCACTTTCCAAACCTTGAAATGACTGTTAAAATTCAAGCATTTTCAAGGATTTCAAGGACTCGTACGAACCCTGTCAGGTGTAACACGTGTGTCCTTACCAGGACTACTGGCAGTGTGAGAAATGTGAGGAGATGAACCCGCCTCTACCCAGAAACTGTCAGCGCTGTTGGACTCCACGTCAGGATTGGCTGAGGGAGGCGTCTGTCAACACCACGCCCACACAACCAACCGACCAATCAGCTGCCAAAGACACTCCAAGTAGGTTTTTATTTTTTATTTTTTACTTCACATGTTTGCTTCAGGTTCTAAACCCGAACCCGTCTCCTAAAGGTTCTGATGCTGAGGACAACGGAGTCGACGTTCCAGACGGGAAAAGACCCAAAACTCCGCCCACCTCCGAGCCGTCCTCTCAGGAGAAGCTCCTCTGCTCCGACTCTCAGCCTTCGTCGTCGTCCTCCTCGCTCGAGTCCCAGGAGCTCCAGGCGGGGTCGGGGGCAGGGTCGACGCCCGAGCTGGAGCGCACGGTGTCGGCGGAGTGGCGGCTGCCGGACTCGTGCCTGGACCCCTGCCTCATCTGCCAGTCCCGGCCCAAGAACGGCTGCATCGTCCACGGGCAGACGGGCCACCTGATGTCCTGCTACGTGTGCGCCCGCAAGCTGAAGAAGAGGAACAAGCTGTGTCCCGTCTGCAGGATGCCCATCCAGATGGTGGTCCTCACCTACCTCAGCTGAGCAGAGGAGAGGAGAGGTGGTCCTCAGGCTCAACCTACCTCACCGCAGAGACACCAGTTTGGGAAGAGTTCAAAGATATGTTTTCTAACTTTGGCAAATTTATTTTAAAATAACTGTTTTATTTATTGTTCAAAATGTTTTTCTGAGATAAAACTAAGAGGTTTTATTTAAATTTCTAATGTCTCAGTTTTTGTGAAAATTAATAATAAATGTTTTCGAGTTAAAATCCAGGTTTGTCCAGTTTTCTGTGAATTCTCCCATCGAGGGTCCTGGTGTGGACCCTGGTCCTCCAGGACCCTGGTTTCCTCCCACAAACCAGATCCCGTCAGGCCTCCTGGTCTCAGTGGCACGGTTACATAATAACAGCTTTGGACGCCATATTTAACTCAACATCACAGTGACTGAACTTTATCATCAGGCTAAAATTCAAGTTCAGACACTGGTTCAAGAGATATTTTACTAACAGACAAAAACCTCACATTTCACCTTCAGCAGCAACAGGTTTTGCACCTGCTGAACACAAACTGTTGTAAAGAAATAAAAGTTGTTTCAGTTCGACACCGACTGGACGCAACGTTTACAAACTTAACAGGACTTATTTCGTTAATCAGTTTTCTTCATCAATTTAAATATTTTCTGCTATTTTTACAAATATTCTTTTTTTTGTGCATCTCTACACCACGTCTGAGTATTTAAATGAAATAAATAGGGCTCATTTAGCCCTCTGGGGCACGATGTTKCTCTCAGGCTCTCACAATTAATGTTTTTAAATAAAAAAATCATTGAAGCGCTGATGAAACGTCTGACCAATGAAATAAAAGTTTGGAGAGCATGTGACATTTTGTCTGGGGTTGGACACGCTGCTATCAGGTCACTTTTCAGCATGTTTACATTTATACAACTTAGTATAAATATGTCTGATGTGCAGAAGTATATTTGATTAACATTTTGCTTTCATTTATATACAGAAAGAGTCATTTTTCATTTGTTGCCTCAGGGCAGTATTGTGCAGTTAGACCACTTTGCAATGGGTGGAGTTTGGCGGAAAACAAAATCAATCTTATCTATCTATGAGTCGATCGATCGACTCATTCAGTGAGGATGATGAACTTGAGGCTGACAGAGAGGAAGAGTTGAGGGAAAGTTTGAAGATCAAGGTTTAGTCAGCTCAGTGTGTGTGTGTGTGTGCACTTGTTTCCACAACAGAGTGAGGACCATTTGCACCATAGTAACTATCRAAGTGAGGTCTTTGATGTAAACTGAGGACCTCTTCATTGTCCTCACTTTGTTTACAGTTCTGCTGGTTAGGTTTAGAGGCATGATGTGGATTAAGTTCTGGTTCAGTTTAGTGTTAACTATAGACCAATAATGGTTAATTTTAGGGAAAATGTCTGGTTAGACATAAATACAGTTACAACAATGAATGGAAGTCAAGACAATGGGCCTCATGCAAGAGCCGTTGGTACGAACAACATAAATGTAACAACATAAATTGGTTAAATTAAATTTAATTGGCAATGCTSTTGTATAAYACTACAATATTAATATGAAGAGCTCAAACTTAAAACCATCTTAAACTATGCATTAATTGAAGKCTGAAGACATWTTAAGATGCTTTTTTTCAGAACCGCATAAATGAAAACTATGTAACACAGTTGTTTACTCTTAAATTAAAAATATTTGACCAAAGAAAAACCGGAGCAGGACTAGAGAGAGATGAATATGATTTAGATTTTTATTTCTGTGTCTGTAACGACCCACAGGAGACAACATTAACACATTTCATTCCTTTAAGCAGCTCCTTTAATTCCACAGCTGAAGCTGCTAAAAATGACAGATTTTTCTCTGGATCTCTGAGAGCAGGACTTTATTCTCAGAACTCGTAAAGTTCTTCTTTTTACTTTGTGATGTCATTTATGAATGAACACTTCCTGGTATGTGGGACAGGAAACATATCCTTATATGGTGTTTTTATGGTGGTAATTATGCTAATCTCCTCTCCTTGTGCACGAGCACCTGATACACATTCATCAGTTTACGCAGCTCATTTACACACTTCTCCTGAAGATAGAAGAGTTTGTTGAATCTGATGTGACATGTTTGTACGAACTCTTCATACGAACATGTTCTTGCATGAGGCCCAGTGTTTTCAATCTTCCATCTTCACTGAACTGACTGATTTGGTTACATACATAAGGGTTATTATATTTTAAAAATGACCATTTATATTTGCCAGGCTGGTAGTTTTCTGCTCTAAAACATTTTATTTGTCTGAATTCTTCCACTTCCTGTTTGACAGTCAGATCWTTCAGCTGCACTCATATGGATGGAGGGATARATAAAGGGATGGGAGCACCTGTGTCCAACATATGGGTAACTGCACTTTGATCTAATGTATTTCTTCATTTTTGCTCTAATATTTCAGACTTGTGTAAGTTCCAACAGTACCTGAGAGCTGGGAGTTAGTCTGGTGGTGAAGTCACTGGACTTTGGTGCAGGAAGATCAGAGTTCAACTCCCACCAAGTCTGGTAACAGTTTTGAAACATTTCTTCTCTTTCACTCAGGTAACTGACTAAACTTAGGTTAGTTAAACCTTTCCATGAGAGCTGGCAGGTAGTCCAGTGGGTTAGTCACATGGCTGTTGGTGCATGAATGATCTGCAGGAGTTCAAATTAAAAAGCTTTAACTGAGGCTGGTTGTGGGATTTGAACTCAGAACCTTTGGTCCAACAGCTAAATGTCTAACCCACTGGACTACCTGCCAGCTCTCTYATCATGTTTGAACTTATATTAGTCTCTCCAAATACCTGGTGGAATCAATAAAAGCTGGTAGGCACTGCTATGCTTCCTGATCTGGGTCTATCTTTTGCATCTACTTTTAGTCCCACTCTCACACACCTGTCCAAACCCACCCCCCCACCCGTCCCGACGCACTCCACCACACAGCTAATTTATTACTAACTTCAGTTTATTGAATGTGTTCAGTTCTACATTTTGCATCTATATTATCAAGTGTCTTTGACAGGAACAAGCTCATCAGCAGAGGTCCTATATAGTTACATATAGGATTAGATTTGACAGGAACAAACTCATTAGCAGAGGTCCTATATAGTTACATATAGGATTAGATTAAAGATCTGATGAGGGGGCGGAGCTTCAAACACCCCTTGTTTGATGTGATGAACATGTTGCTCTCTCAGACACTCATTGAGGAGCTAAGTTGGCTCTGAGATTTGAACCCTGCACCCAGATCAATCGTGCATCAGCAGTCATGGGACAAACCCACTGGACTACCTGCCAGCACTCATGTAATGGTTTAACTTCCTTAAGTTTAGTAAGTTACCTGAGTGGAAGAGAAGAAATGTTTCAAAACTGTTACCAGACTTGTTGGGAGTTGAACTCCTGATCTTCTGCACCAAAGTCTGGTGACTTCACCACCAGACCAAGTCCCAGCTCTCATGTCAAGGTTTTACTAACCTAAGTTTAGTCAGTTACCTGAGTGGAAAAGAAGAAATGTTTCAATATTGTTACCAGACTTGGTGGGATTTGAACTTAGATCTTCCTGCACCAAAGTCCAGTGACCTCACCACCAGACTAACTCCCAGCTCTCAGGTACTGTTGGAACTTACACAAGTCTGAACAATTAAGACAAATATGAAAACATTTGTTCTAGATTTCATCTGTGAGCCTTCCAAAATCAACTTTTTTTCTTCAGATAAACTGTCTAAACTTTGCCCTAAGGATAATGCCTTTCTATTAATGACAAAAATTCAACGTTTTGGGCTAAAATTGTTTAAATGTACAATATTGTGTCTAAAAACGTCTTMGTGCTGCTCTCTATGGGTTTAACTATGGCTACTACATTTAAATTTTGTTATTCATTCAAAGAGTACCGTATGCTGGTACTGTGTGACGTGTCACAGTACTGTGCTCAGTAGAAAAGCCTCTCTGTAGAGACGCCCTGCAGAGATTCAGGAGTTAGCCATAGCATTATTGATGGTTGCTGTGGTAGAAGCTGCTTCCTTCCACTGCACCCACAGTGAAAACATGGAGTCTGTCAGTCATTAAACAAGCTGAATTAACTTACACATCCTCTTTGTGCTTCAACATTTTTGTTTAAACAGAATAAAAGATTGCTGTATCACATAGTTTAGACTGGGCCGAAATACACACACACCCTTGCGCACACAGTCCCCACGATGTGGGAAAAACATGTCCACACACCCACAGCTGTTATTTTTATTATTATAGATCGTTGYCACATCCTTACTGTGTTCAGGAAAGAATAAAAGGTGTAGAGCTGAAGCTCAGCCGTACGTCCTGGAACTACAGCTAAACGAGAACAAGTGTGTGTCACCGGAGCGAACACCTGCAGGCAGAAACTTACCTGGAGGCAGTGATGGAAGAAAAGACGAGGATGTCCATGATCAGCTCTTCAAACTGCTCCTGACAATTTTTCCAAGCAAGTCCTGGTACGGACCGAACCGGACAGTGACTGCTCCACCTGCTGCCATCGAACCGGACCCTCGCTGCTCTGCTGCAGGTTGCTCCGTGTCAGAACATCCCGGAACATCCACAGGTATTGTCCCCATGAAGACTAAAGATGCTGAGGTCTTTATAAACTTAGGAACATTTTAGCTGTGAGGATTAAATTAAAACGGGATCACATCAAATGGGATTTAGCCTAAAATATATGTCCGGTTGGATTCGGATCACCGTAGTGGTTTTTTTTAGTCCTGATCTTAACTCTACGTAAAACAGCAACGTTTTATTTGTTTAAAATATATATTTAACTGCAAAGAGAAGTTAGGCCGTGCTCCCCACTTTGTAGGCATTTTTCAAATTTGCCTTGGGGCGGAGTTATCCTTTTAAGGGGTGGGGTCCACTGAGAAGGGGTTATCTGCAGGATCAAAGTGGGCGTGTCACAAGAGTGGGCGTGTCTAAAGCATAAACACTGTGGGCTACGAGGCCTACATGACGGTATCCTTAGATCCTGCTTGACCTCTTTACAGCCTGACCCTGACCCCAACACTCAGGTTAACCAGGAGAAATGTGACCCTAGTAGGGGTCTCCAGAAAAAGTGGTGCCGTACAGTAACGCCCCTTTTGTTCTTGTCCAATCAAATGGTGCCGTATGGTGACGCCCCTTTTTTTGCTTGTCCAGTCAGGTGTGTCCCTTTAAAAAAGTCTGTCAAATCAGGTGTGTCGCTTTAGAATCGCCTTACGTTGGGACACGCCCACTCGTCGCAGAGACCCCTACTTGGGTCCGCTACGTTCTCTCATCCCCCTCCCCCCTAAAAACACTTTAGGCGGTGCCTCCTTCCTCTCGCCTGCAATGCCCACTGTAGGCATTTTTAAAATTTTGCTTTGGGGCGGAGTTATTTCACGGGGAGGGGTGGGGGGTAAGTTCCCCTTTAAAGTCAACCCCCCTCTGGTCTCCGTAGTTGGTACGGTCCAGCCTAAACCAGAAGCAGCAGAGGCTAAATGAAACAAACAAAATAACTTTTTTAATATAAACATATTTTATTGGATAATTTGAACTTCCTACATCTGGATTTTCTGCCCATTTCTCCACTTCCACACAGAAGAGTCACAGATTTGAGCTTCAGACCGGTTCTGATGCCGGGCAGTGCCATTTTTAGTCCACTGAGTCTTAGAACCTGGTCCATTCAAACCATTTGTCTCCTGGAGGCATTTCAAAAACAAACAGATGAAGTACCTCAGAGAGATTTCTGCAAAAAAACAAACATTCAAGAGTTGCACACGTGCCTGGAAACATTTACTGCGACAGTTTCACATCACATCATTCTGTACCTAAAAACACTCAAATGTCCCGTTTTTTTTCCTCCTCCTGTTTAACAACTGATCTGCAGTCGTGGAGCTSAAAGATAACACAACTGTGCTTCTTTATACAACATGTGCCAACAATTTGATCATAAAACAAACAATGTGTCATTTCAGATACAAACATCTTTGTTCAGTTTACGGCTGAAAATCAGAAAATCAGACAGGAAATTTGAATAAATCCAGTTTGGAGGTGAATTACAATCAAACTAAACAGACCAGGAAGTTCTCAACAACCACAACCAGAAAGGCAGTAAGAGTTTACGCTACTAAAAAGAAACTATTAATAATAAGTTGGTTTATTTATTTATTTTTTTTATCTGAAGTTGCATAAAGTGACCAGAAGGTGGTGCTGTTGGTTCTGTTAAACCTGATTAATACAGATAATTAATGAAAACAAAATGTCTGGACATATGTTGAGTAGTTTAACTCAAGATATTAATATAGATTGTCTTTTTKATTTCATTTTTATCACATATTTGTGCAAAACTTCAGTTTACTATTTCTTAAATTCAAATCAAACAACCCTCTGCTTTGTTTCAACGTGTTTATTTTAATCTGTGTTTTCACYGTTACTACAATAAAAACCTGGAAACAGCTTCGCATTATTTCAGATTAAGCTGAGATTAAGCGGGAGTTTCTTTAAAACCAACACATCTGGTTTGAGTTTTTGTTTTTTAAAGTGAAGTTCTGAAGCCCTCAGCACCACCTCATCAAAGTCTGTTAGAAAACTCCAGAACCCTTCAGTCAGTCTGAGCGGCGGCCATGTTTCMGGCCCGGCCCGGCCCGGCCCGGTTCTGTAAGGCACTCGCTGGCGGCGGAGAGAAGGCAGACAGAAAAACATGAACGGTTCTGTGAGCAGAAACAAAAAGAGCCAAACATTCACACACAAACMGCTGCAGAGGGCTTTTTCTTCTCTCGTTTTGTTTTCAGATCTGGAAACATCTAAAGATTCACATTTGAGTATGTTTAGTAGAAAAGTAGCACAGAGTACACACAACACTTACTGAAGGTATTTGGCACCAAAGCAGCTTCTTAAAGAAAAACAAACTTTGTTTCGTCTGATTCAGATTATTGCACCACAGTTTGATGATTCTGTGATCGTTTACTTTCAAGAGCTCAGAGCGACGTTTTCAGCTCATTTCACATGATCTTTAGGCAGTTTGGGGGGTTTGTCGGGTCCAGGACCTGATCCTGATCGGGTCCTGGGGTTTGTCGGTCCAGGACCTGATCCAGGTCTGGTCCAAGAACCAAAGGTTAGTGGTGCCGTTTTAAAAAACGAGCTCGGACCTGAAAATCAAAGTCTGGAAACAGAAATGAGAGCGAGAGACGACCTGCAGCTGGACCTGAACAGATCCCAGGTCTTCGTACCGCAGAGGAGTCAGGACCTGCTTCCTCCTGGGACTCTTCAGGACTGAAGCGTTCAGTTGGACCTCAGGTCCCAGACCAAGTCCTCAGACTCAGACTGGTCAATCGTTGGCTGCAGCTCCAACAGCCTCCAGAGGAAGATCTTCCATCACTTCCTGTCCATCACTTCCTGTCCATCACTTCCTGTTTATTCTTTAAATTTAACGTTTTGGATTTTCGTTTGTCGGTTGAAACTTTGACAGAAAAAAAAAAAAGTCCGGAGCTCACAAACCCATCGGCTACTTTTAGAAAAATAATTTGTCGGAGCTCCACCTGGTGCCGTTCCAAGCCCCGCCTCCTCCCTCAGGTGAAGCAGAACTGGGTTCTGTTGGTTCTTTAGTCTTTAAAACGGTGAAACATTCAGAAAAAGTTCAGTCGCTCCTTTCAGTCCTAACGAGGAAGGGGACTTTAAGCTCCTCCCCCTCGCCCCTCACAGGGTCAGAGGTCGGTGGTTTTGTTCTCCAGGGCGGCGGCGACCTGCTGCAGGCGGACCGTCAGCTGTTTGTTCTGAGCCGCCGGGTCTTCGTCCAACGACTGGATGATCTGAGGAAGAGGAGGGAGAGCARACAAATAAAAATATACTACATATTTAAATAAAACCTTTTTTTATACTTTAAATAAACTTTACACAAAATGACTTTAATGTGTCATTTATGTTGGAATTTTTGAAAAATTTTTATTCCATATTTATTTATTTACTTTACAGCAACCTTAAAGTGAGAAAAGAGGGAACAACAAAAGCTTTATTTGTAAATTTAAACAAAATTTAAACCGTGTATAAAGAAACAATCAGGGTGAACTCTGTGCTGCCATCTGGTGGCTAAAATAAATCTGTTTTATTTAAAGCAGAACTGAACCAGAATTTAAACTGAAATCATCTAAAAGTTGCTTTAATCAAACATCTGAATAAAAACAGGCTGAACGAGGATCTAATCAGAGAAAAGAGAGCAGAAAATAAATGTTTAACGCTGAGAACTCACGGCGTCGAAGTATTTGCTGGCGTATTGGTAGAGTTGATG